ATATATATATATATATACAGCTTTGTTCTTAAGGAAAAAGGCAATATATTGGCTTTTAGTAACTCATCAGATGAATTAGTTTAAGGAAATAAAATCATTTCATCAAATGCAGTGGTGTTTGAAGTTATGCAATACATTAAGTTGTACTTAAATAATAGTAAAAGGTACATTATAGTCATATAAAATTATAATAAATAGGAGACCAGCGGGTGGCATGATGGCTAAGGTGCTGGACACTCCCACATGACCCACCACAGTTTGAGTCCCAGACCTAGTGGCTTTCTTTTTTTCCCTCTCTCTCTCTCTCTCTCTCTCTCTCTCTCTCTCTCTCTGATTGTGTGTGTGGTCAAATTAAAAAAAAAAAAGAATAAATAAAATAAAATAAATAATGTTTTTAAAATTATAGTCAATAACAAAATACTTGTACTTACTTCATATAAAACTTTCTGCTTATGTAGTTCATTATTAGAATCGAGATAGAGTGGGTCTTTTCCTTTCTAATAGTCTGCCATCATGAAATTTTCGCAGCATCCCACCATTCAAAAGCAACCTTCAGAGCCTCATAAAGCCCTCCCTCTGGTTAGCCTTGCTGAATTGGAATCTATTGTCACAGAAAGGCCACAGTTCAGCAGACAAAAGGATTTCCAGCAACAGGTAATCTCACCCCCTTCCTGTCCGAAGGACAAGAATAAAGCTTTCTGTGTGGAATTTCCCTTTGGACTCTGTACTGAGCTGCCATTGGAGTGTCTTCTTACTTGCTAGATGCAGAGTGTGACGAGTGGGTGTTTGCGTGTGGGCGGCAGCTCTGAGTGGGAGCAAGCTCTCTCTGCTGTCCTCTGCTACCGTGGGGAGCCACTTTGTTAACACTCCTTGTACGTCAGGATGGACTTAACCTCTGTCACCACAGCACCGCTTTGCCTGTTCCTTCAAAATATATTAGTATATTTTTAGTGATTTTCATGTGTGTAATACAGTTGTGAATAACCCAGGGTTATTGTGTGAGTGCTGTAAATAGATCTTTGAGAAATTAAAGTTAAGAACAAGCAAGAAAGAAAAGTACAAATAATGATTTAGAAAGTGGTTCCAGATTAGGAACCCTTGGATATTAAGTGAACTACTTGATTGATTGGACCATCTGAATCTTATTCAATTATAGGTCCTGGAGTTAAAACCAATGGAACAGAAAGATTTAGTCAAATTCATAGAGTTTAATGCTAAAAAAATGTGGGCCCAGGATTGCCAGCATGATAGAGCCACAACTCAAGAATCCTCTGCGAGGTAAACGTTTTAAAATAGTGGGATGGTCCCTAGTTTCATGGGAGAATGAAGAGTGTTTCTTTAAAAATCACTCATTAAACGTCTGAATGTAATACACAAGTTTTTATGCGTCTTACTCTTTTCACCTTCCTCCTCCAAAGCAATGAGGCGTCTAGCCCTGAACCCGACACCCCGTGCCTCGGCCAGACTGGGGATAAATGGCAGTACCTCCATCATGAGCTGTCATCCAAGATCAGCCTACCTCCACCTCCGCTGGTGGAGCCTCAGGTCAGTCCACATGTGCACACAGCAGAATTCGCTGGTTATCTCTGAAAATCTAACACCAACTTAAATCAACATCTGGGCTCTGCCTTGTGGAGTAATTTATTTTCAGAAAGCAAAAATACTGAGTGGGCTTGTCATTTAGCCGACACTTTTCTCTTTGAAGTTTCTTTCTTTCAAGAGGAAGAGAGAGTCAGGGAGCGCTGTGACAGGGCTTTGTCATGTCCCCAGCCCCCGCTGCTACCTTCTAGTCTCTCAGCCAGCTAGGATCATGGGCGTACCCAACACATTCAGATGGACCCAGAATCTGAACCCAGGGCCTTGGTTTATTTGACTTTATTTATTTATTTTAATTTAATCAGAGCAGAACAGAGTGAGAGAGAGAGAGGGAAAGTGAGAAAGCAAGCTGCCTGGTCCAGGACTCAAACCGTAGTGGGAGTCCAGCGCCTTTAACTACCACGCCACCTGCCGGCCTCCCAACTCTCTTTTTATATGTTAGTTTTCTAATTCGAAAAGGAAATTAACTGAATCATCCTCCCTTCTGAAAGCACTGTTCATTTTTAATACTTGCTTGACTTTCAATAACAAATCAAGATACAGATCCATCCCAATAGGTGACTTCTATTTCAAGTCTTAGTTAATACCAGCCTCCTAGTAAACTATTAAATAAGTAATAAATGTACTAGTAAATAAACAACTAACTTTATAACATGAATATCATTGCTACTAAATTGAAAGTGGTTTTATTTTACTTCTCAAATCATGGTTTCTTTCCCCTTGTTTTGATAAATAAATGAACCCTCAAGTATCTTAGTATAACATGACTTTTCAAAAATATCCAAATATTTTAAATTAATTTATTTTTCTTATAAATGACAAGGTAGACAAATTAAACACTTACCAAGAAAGTGACTCAGAAGACAGTGTGCGGAGGCATTTTTGCTATTTACATTAATGTCAGCAGGATTTATTTTTTTTTTTAGAATTATATATTTTTTCATTTAGTATTATTTTTTGGGTGGCTTCACTGCGATCCCTTCTCCCCCATTCTCCTCTTGGGATTTTGGGCACATACACACACATGCTCAGTGTGAGTTTTAAGCTACCAGGTCTGGGACTTGAACTGCAGTCAACCATGTGGGAGTCCAGTGACGTGACCCTTCTGCCATCTGCTGGTCGCTATTATTATTTTTAAATTTGCTACAGGGCACGTGTGCAAGAAGGAAAGAGAGATAAGAAAACAAGCTGCCAAGTCCAGGACTGGACCCTCAATTGGCCATGTGGGAGTCCAGCAGTTTGTCCACCACTCATCTGCTGGCCCCAACATCAGCAGGATCTTAAACCATCACTAATAGGATTTCCCTCCTCAAATAGGTTACCACAAACATGAGTATTCTGCCTAGTGTGAGTGCGTATAACTTTAGATACCCAACAAGTGAAGAACTACAAGCCTATACCACCCAACTGGAAGACCTACGCCAAGAAGCAAGTAATCTTCACACCGAGGTACAAAGCTTTACACTGCACATTTACTTCATTGTAATAACATAAAAAAGGGAGAGAGATAATACATTGTCCTAATAGTCTTCCCTGAACACATAATGAAATGAGTCCTAGAAATGGAGTAGAAGTGGTTTTGTTCACCAACTGATAAGTTCAGTAGTGGCAGCTTAAAGTACTGTATACAAAGGACTCTGAGTCTTAGTTCAGGATTATCAGGCAAGAGGATAGTGTTTGCTTAGTCCTGTCTGCAGTGGTAATCTGGGATTGGATAGGTGAAGAGACAGCGTTAGGAAGGTAGCATAGATAAGGTCTCTATCCTTGAGCAGGCTTAACTCTTGAGATGGTGTGCTAAGTTATGTTGGCCGTCCATCACAGGAGACGCTAGGAAACAGCCCAAGTGGGGTGGTTACTAGCCTTGTCTAAGCTTCTTGTCGCTGCTCAGGAGGAGTTCAGCATGTTCCTGGGTAACAAGAAGGAGGTGGTTCCCACAGCTTGCATAAAACAGATCTGTGGCTCCCCAACCACAGATCTGTTTGCACAACCCTTGGAGTTGTACATCTGAGTGTAGTCCGGATTCTCACAATCAGCCCCTAAATGATACTCTCAACCTCCCCTTGCCCCACTCCTTCCCCTGGATGGCTGCTAAGGAAGTCTTCCATCTTGGTATTTGCCTTTCAGTTCCATTCAGTTGTCAGGAAGCTACTCAACTGGAATTTCTTAAACTTGTTTTTCAGAGAGTTACAGATTAATTTTATTTATTTCTTCTGCTGCCAAGTTCACTAAGTATTCAGAACAATTTATTTATTTTTTTAAAAAAGATGTAAATTGAAAGCTGTAATGGAAACTAAGGAAAGTGTAGATTTGGGAAGGCAAGGAATCCTAATGCTCTTTATTTTTTTCTTTTCTCCTCTTCAGGAAAACATGACGGAAGAAACATACACGGATTTGGATAAAAGATTATTTGAACTATTTCTGACCCTCAGTCAGTGTCTCGGGAGTGTGGAGGAGATGCTGCAGGCACCTGGGCTTTTCCCGCAGGCTGTGTCTGCCCAGCAGGTGCACTACGAGGTGGGCACGAGCCCATGTGTTGCCCATTTCAGCAGCTCAGCTAGGTAAGCCAGCGCTCAAGCCTCTGAGGTCAGAGCTCACTCTCCCTGTCTTCCTCTCCCTTTGCAGACACTGGCTCTGGAGTTGAAAAAACTTTACTTAGCTATGAATGACAAGAAGGAGGATATTTTGAAAGCCATGAGTTGGTCCAGCAAGAACACCAACTTGCTCCTTGACTGTTTTGACAAACTTCACGTCTGCCTGGAGCACACCCAGGCCACAGCTGCCTCTAGAAGCAGATCCCTGAAAGCAGGCCTTGACTATCACCGCAGTTATCAGGTACGATTCTGCGCACACAGACCGCTTTGGCGCTGTGTTACGTTACAGCCTGGACCCTCGTTGGCAGTAATTCCCATTCCTGGTGACATTCATTAATAGGAATTGCTAAGCAATCCAGTGAAATACCTGTTGCTGGCGGCTGAAACCATTTGGAAGTTAAATCCTTTTCATAGTCTTAGGTGCAGATGAGTTAGGATAAGCTAACATGTTTCTTTTCTTCCCTTATATGCAGGCTTTTAATAATTGTCACATGGGAAGATTGGTATTTAAATTTATAGGCCAGAGGAGCTGTGAATGTTTTTGTGCAAAGGAATGGCAATCTTTGTATGTTTTCAGAGCCGTTATCTAAAGTGAATTGGCAATGGTGGGGGGGAGGGGAGTTTGAAAGGCTAGGAAGCTACTGAAATTATCTAATGGAAAAGAAATAAAACATAGCACCACTTATGAAGGAATCTTGCCCATGAAAATAAAACTTAAGTCTGATCAAACATTTAGATTCTGAGTGAAGCCGTGCAGAGAAGAACGTATGCAGTAGCATCATGGGGTTGCAGTATGCCAAAGTCACAGTGGGGGAAACCAGACTGAACAAGTGACTGTGTACACTGTGTGTACACACACACACACACACACACACACACAAATCTAAGAAACCAAAACCAAAAAGAAAGGTGGTAGGGAAGTCTGCAGATGAAACGTAAATTAAGAAATATTAGTATATTGTGTCATGGTCCTCATTTGTTTCCTAATTGAAACAAACCAAAAAGAAAACTTGAGGGACCAGCAGTTAACATAATGGCTATGTTGCTGGACTCCCATGTAGTCGACCGCTGTTTGAGTCCCGGACCCGGTGAATTAAAACTCACACCGGGCACAGGTGTGTGCATGCCCAAGATCCCGAGAGGAGAATGGAGGAGGAGGGATTGCGTGATCATCCCCCCTAGGGGGTGATTTCTAGCTTTCTGTCTCTCTGTCTCTCTCTGTCTTTCTGGCAAGCGCACGTGCCCTATAGCAAAAACCTCTCCAAAAAAAGAAGAAAAAAAAAGAAAACTTCTGGCAATTAAGCATGAACTCTGACTGGATGGGATTGGGATTATTGATTTGGGGAAGGTATATTATATTTATAAAAGGAGGAGGAGATCTTTATCTTATAGGGATACACACAGACACATATACTAATGAAAGGACTTTATATCAGGACCAGCAGATGACATAGTGGTTATGTCACTGGACTCCCATATGGCAGACTGAGGTTCGACTCCTGGAGCCAGTGGCTTGAAACATGCTGAGCACATGTGTGAGCGTGCTCAGAATCCCAGGAAGAGAATGGAGGAGAAGAGATTGTGGTGTGGCCATTCCCCTGGGGGGTGATTTCTCACTTTCTCTCTCTTTTTGTATCTCTTTCTCCTCATGAACGCACACACCCTGTAGCAAAAATCTTTTTTTAAAAAGAGGACTTGATCTCTAGAATTTGCTTTCAAGGAATCTGAGGGAAGAAAGACTGGGCAGTCAGGTAGCTGGGGGAGGGCCCAGTGGGAAGGCCAGCCACAGGCCAGCAGGTATTAAAGCTCAGTGATGGGGATGTTGGGATTTCTCTGGGTTTATGTATGTTTGAAATTTCTAATAACACAAAAATGATAAAAGATTAAACAAGTAAAAATAAGTTCATTAAAGCCTAAATGAGATCACTCAATTCCCTACATGTATCTTTTTTTTCTACAGAATGAAATAAAGCGATTATATGATCAACTCATTAAGAATAAGACATCTTTACAGCAATCTTTGAATGAAATTAGTGGCCAGAGTATTGGTGAACAGCTTCAGGTAATCAAGTCACAATAGTAAAATGCCCTATCCTTGGACTAGAGAGTCTTGTGTTTAAACTGTGCTTCTGAACCACTTTCCTTTGAGGCAGTAGTAAGGCTTAAGTTAATAAATGAAAATGAAAACTATCAGTGTTGACCTTTTAAAAACATTTTGTAAGTAGCTCAGTGTACTAAAACAAAGAGACCGTTTTCAATCTACCCATCAATCTGGCAGAACTTTAAGTGTGTGAGTGTCAGTGAGGATTTTGGAAAATGAGACCCTCATCTTTTTGGTGAATTAGAAGTGCTAATTTGTCCAGCTTTGGGGATCATTCAGCTGTCTTCTGGATTTTTACGCATAAATATGCTTCCACATAACAGCAATTCGGCTTCATTCGGCAAGCATTAAGTGAGGCCCTACTGTGTTCAGGCACTGTGCTAGGTGCTGGCCCTGCACTCTTCCTAAGGAAATAAGACGAGTGCATAAAGATGAATACGCTGTAAAAATCCAAGGATGAGCCTGGCAGTGTTACCTGGATTAAAGACTGTCAGCTCTTACTACATAAAGCAGGGTGCTTCCTTACAGTGGCATACTGTGTGCCTGGTTGAAAGGAACTGCATATGAGGAGGTCTTCAGAACTTTCTTGGAAAATGGGTAGTATGAACAACTATACATGGATTTCAGAATTTTTTCACCAACTTTTTAAGTTTTTTTGCCGTAGGGTACATGAGCTCCCCACAGAGAGACGTTGAGAGGGAAAGTGAGAAATCACACCCCGGAGGATGCCCATGCTGCAGTCCCTTCTCATCCCTTCTCCATTCTCCTCCTGGGATTTTGGGCATGCATGCACATGCACCCAGCGTGATTTTTAAGCTGCTAGGTCCAGAACTCGAGCTAGATCGGCCATGTAACTACGACACCACCTGTGGGCCCTAAGCTCGTATTTTAATTTCATTTTAACTTCCATAAATTTTTTGAGCCTCCTTGTGTGCCTGCTGATTTGAAGAGATGCTGCTGAGCAGATAAATGAGGGCTAGCTGCAGGACAGAAAGCTGTGGTGCAGTCAGTGGACTTCAGGATATGCACGTGCACCCCTTCCGGTGTACACTTAGACTGTGTTGGGAAGGACCTGCACACTGTTCAGCCTCTGGGGAGATTGAGAAGGAGAGCCAGAGGTGAAGGAGTGGGAGGTGGGGTTTCATTATTCCCTTCACTACTTTTTGTGCTGTTTAGTTTTTAAATGAATAGATGTCCTTCTCTGGCTTATTGAAACTTTGTCCTTTTTTCTATTGTCTCTCGCCTAGAAAGCAGATGAGTTTACAGTGGAGCTGCAGAATTCTGAGAGCCGAGTGGTTAAACTAAGGGATGAAGGGGAGAAGCTTCATTTACCTTACGTTTTACTCCAGGAGGTTTACAAATTAGAGGTATGCCTGAGTAGAAAACATCTACTCCACGTTATTATTGTAGGGAATCATACCTTTTTTTCCTTCCCAAAGAGCATAGGTTTGTTCTTCGTCTTAATAGTTTCCTCGGAGGATGAAAATGCTTTTGCACACCTACGCTTTTCTTTTTAGGATGTGCTTGACAGTATGTGGGGAATCCTGCGAGCCAGGTGCACAGAACTCAGCAGCCCTTCCATCACGGAGAGCCAGCAGGATGCCTTGCTACAAGGCATGGTGGAGCTAGTGAAGATTGGAAAGGAAAAGCTTGCTCGTGACCACTTGCAACACACCAAAAGTCAAGATGCCTTACGGGCTCAGATACAAAATCACAAGGTAAGACTCATGGGTCACGTGATCTCTTCCTAGACTAACATGTTATGGTTTTTCTGATTGTTTATAGAAACTATTTTCTTCCTTGAGAAATATAGTTTTCCTCTTTTAGTAAACATAAAGTGCTTACTGTGTACCGGGAATCTGCTAACTCAGGAACCCGATGGCGAGTTAATAAAATAGACACAATTTATTCCCTGTAGATTCATGGTGCTTTAAGCTGATGGAGGAAACATGTTTATCAATGGGTCTCCAAACAAGTTTAAAATTAACATTCAGAAACATTCTGTAAGGGCATTTATTAAGAGAAATTGACTTGGGGAGATTATGAAAAACTTTGTTGAACTCTTAGGTCTTTGGGAAAGTCATGATGTATTTTTCTATGCAAAAAATGCATTATGACTTTCCCAACAACCCAATAGAATTAAAAAAGATGATTTATGGGGCCAGCCAGGTGACTTGGTGGTTAAGGTAGCAGGATCCCACATGTCCAACTGTGTAGTTTTAAGTCCTAAATCTGTCAACCTTTAAAACATGCCACACACATATGTATGCATATCCAAAATGCCTAGAGGAGAATGGAGGAGAAGAGATTGCACTATGACCATCCCTGTGAGGGAGTGATTTCTCACTTTCTCTCTCTCCTTGTCTCTGTCTGTCGCTGCTGAGTGCATGTGCCCTATAGCAAACAAAAAAGATGATTTATTATTATGTACTATAATATTACAATAAGTCCTTTCATTTTCCATTCATTTCCTTAAATAAAATCCTCTTGATCACCAACTAGAGATATGTCGTAACCTATGTATTGACAACAAAAAACATGTAAGTCATAGTCCCTGCTTTCACCAAGCTCATTCTAGGGCCAAGAAACACTGAAAGGTAAATACTGTATAAAGGATAGAGGGAAAGAAGATAAAATAATATTGATTATCTATAGTGTTTCAGGTCTTTGGTTAAATGCTTTCACAACCCCTTCTATTTCTCCTTGTCAAGGAATAGGAGCAGGGGGAGTCACATAATAAGGGCGGTCTCTCAAAATAACTAGAGGAGGCAGCAGACTATGATGGAGAACCTCCATGTGAAGGAAAAGTCTTCCTTTTCAGAGTTTCTTGGAGCGGCCAGCAGATGGCGTAATGGGTACATCTCTGGACTCCCACGTAGTCGACTGTGGTGTGAGTCTCGGATGCAGTGGCTTAAACTCACACTGGGCGCATGTGTGTGCGTGCCCAAGATCCTGAGAGACTAGAGAAGGGATTGTGGTGTGGCCATCCCTCTCGAGGGGAGGTGAATTCTTGCTTTCTGTCTATCTTTCCAGCGAACACAAGCACCCTATAGCAAAAATCTCTCTTTAAAAAGAGAAAAAAGGGACCAGCAGTTGTCATAATGGCTTTGTCACTGGACTCCCATGTAGTCAACCCTGGTTCAAGTCCCAGACCCGGTGGCTTAAACTCACGCCGGGCACATGTGCATGCATGACAAAGATCCCGAGAGGATAATGGAGGAGAAGGGATTGCATGTGTGACCATCCCCCCGGGGGATGATTTCTCGCTTTCTGTCTTTCTCTGTTTCTCTCTGTCTTTCTGATGAGTGCATGTGCCCTATAGCAAAAACTTCTCCAAAAAAAAAAGGGGGGGGGTGTCAGGGGAGCGTTCTCCAAGTACAAGTTGAGCATCCCTAATTTGAAAATCTAAAATGCTCCAAAATCCCAACTTTCTGATTACTAATTTATGGAATGTTCCATACCTGACCTTATGGGTTGGATCATAGCCAAAATGTTACAACACAAAAATATTAAAATGTTTTAATTTTATATTTGTATATAAAATTACTTTAAGATTATTTCAAGTGTAAGGTTGTCTGTGAAACTTAAATGAATTTCATGTTTAGACCTGGATTACATCCTCAAGATACCTCATTATGAATATGCAAATATTCCAAAATCCCAAATCTGAAGCACTCCTGCTCCAATGCGTTTCAGATGCGGGATACTCATCCTGTACAAGTATGGAAACCTTTGTGGACCAGGATCCCTGTAAACCCACATCAGCAAATTCTTTTTATTTAGCCAGTTTTTCTTCTTTTTTTTTTTCCTTTCTTTTCATTTTCTTTCTTTCTTTCTTTCTTTTTTTTTTTT